TATAGTGTACATAAATAATTTGTCGCGAGTGTGGAGAGAGATACCTATTACCTACTACATGAAAGCTGATAGTAAATCTTGATGTGACGTCGCGACGTCCGATTGCGACTGCCGCTGTGATACGTAGCTGTAAATCTCTTCGGGAACTTCATAGGATAAACGCTTGTTTACAACTTGTGTGAACTGTTAAGCTCGACTATACACGCTGTCATATTATGGTTTGTAAGGAAATACAATTAAACATATTATCTCATTAGTGTAAACTGCGAACTGTAAACATCATCAGTTTTGGAACATCTAAGTCGCATCGTACGATATTTTACTTCCACCGGGATAACACGTACCTACCTATTCATGTGTACAACAACGGGACGTATACAGAGGGCGTCCATAATATATTTTATTATTTACATACATATAGTCTAATATAGAACTTTAGGCATCCATTTCACATGCGAGGTCCCCTCGAATATCGAATTATTCTTTCGTTCGAAACCGGTCACATCAAATTAAATATTTCTTCAATGTTATGATTCCATTTCATCTTTGGAGAACTTTTTTAAAATAAGTATGTCTAGTATGGAAACTAAGCTTTAGTCCCACCATTGTTTTTCAAATTGAAGTACATTTATATCTTTAATCATGCATTTAAAAATAAGATATACTACACTAGTTTCAGTGTGGACCTCTGAAGTAGTTGTGTTGTGATGTTGAAAAGAAATATGAATCATCATTCATCAGAAAACAATTTATATTTAATTCGAAAATTGGTAATATTAAAAACATCCCATGTTTAATAAAAGTAAAACTAGTAATAGCTGACAAATGTTGAGTCCCTAAGATTATTTTAGATTTTGAGCGGAACGATAAATGTTTTGGTGTTCAACTTTTGGGTGGTTTCTGGTAGAAAATTGAATCAAGTTGATGCTTTCTTTTAAGATGACAAAATCAATAATTACCAATCGTTTTTAAAATCCTCGAAGTAATGAGAAGAAAAATTAAGATAAAATGGAAATTTTTAACAAAATCTATTTCATCGTTTTGTAGCAACACAAAAATAAATTACTGCCGAGCATTTTAAATTTTCACTAAATATTTATATAATCAGTTTCCATACAAGATGAAATTTTAATTTATTTTTTTGTATCTTTTCTATAAATGTCGATAAAAATTTTTTCACTAGGTCAAAAAGTTTGAAAAATTAATACGAGATTCATCATAAGTTTTTCTAACTTAAATAAAATAAAAAGTTTACCGAAAAGTCACATCCATTTTTTATGAGTATTTGAAGTTCAAATTTTTACAAAAATATGAATATTCACCCGTAAATGAACGAATTCTCTTCGAGCGATTTTCTTATTTTGTTGCAATTCAAAAACAAATAACTATAGGTTTTCTCAACATATTTATTTTATCAAAGTTCTTAATAAGTTGTCATAAGAGCAATTCAAAAATAACAAACATTTATAGGCACGATTTTTTTTTTATAAACATTTTAAGTTTAATTTTCTTAAATATCATTTGTCATAGAAATGTTTAATTTATTTAGTAGTTAGAACTACTTGCATTGATAAAGATTGAAAAATTGAAAAAAGTTTTCTCATTACTTATTTTTTTACATATATTTTAATTCAAATTTGAACAAAATTAGATATTATTTAAACGAAGAATAAGAATTTTAGTAAAATATCAATACATATTAAATCGATGTATAAAATCGTATGGCAGGATGATTCGCCAAGCATGCTCATTGCTCACCTCCTTTTTCTTCGACAATGCAGTTATTCAAAATCTTATTTTTTTAATTTTTAAATATACTTAATCTGTAAAAACTATATTTTGAAGCACTGGAGATGTTTTTACTACTGTAGAAGTTTTCTGTAAATATAAGGTACAAAAGTTGTTTTCATATGAGAACCCATTTTGTCAACTAAAACCATAAAGTGAATATTTGTATGTTTGTTAAGAAAAATTATGACGTTTCAAAATCGAAAATTCGATCTATTCGTTTTTGAGTTAAGTAACTCAAGTATCTTAAATACTGTTAAATAACTTTATGCACTAAGGATAATAGGCCCATGATAATGAATTTGGAACCTATGGTTATTTAATTGTAGTAATAATTAATACTAATGTACTATTATATATGTTTTATATATTAAGTGTAAAATCATCTTTAACGACTATCATCATCATGACATTATTGTAAATATTTTAATAACTGAGAAACTACTTTTTGGATTTTGTACTATTTTGTTAAATTAGTTATACAACATTTTCAAAAAAAATTATCCATTAATTAATTTACATTAAAATTGGGAAGAAGTTCTCATTGAAAAGTCAGAAGGTTGCATCACCTCAGGACACTCTTTAAATAGTACAAAAAATCTTAAGAATTTGAAAATCTGTTCTTTAAGTATATCTGTATAGTATAAATTTTAAAATTCCAAAAATTAGAAATAGAATGAATTCATTAAAAGAAAAAAGGTTGAGGTAGAGCATGCTTGGTGAATCACCAGAAAAACTCAAATCAAATATAATACAAAAATAATGAAAATTATACAACACAGATTTTTCGTTTTAAAAATTATGTACAAACAATATTATTGAATAGTATTAATACTATTATATGAAACATTTCACCTGAACTCTAGTCGAGGATTTTGTACAAAAAACCAATTAAATTAAAAACTGATTTTTGTTTACACAACGTTTTGACGAGTTCTCGAATTTACAAAATTAATTTGTTTCACATAAACCAATTATTATGTGTGTTGTATAAATTATATTTTATAGCTGGAATTAATATATTATATCATAGACCATAGTAATAAATAAATAAATAACATGGTTAACTTCGAAAAAAAGTCCTTTTACGTTTATATATTACCTAGCAATGAATAATGTAGGCAGTTGGTACCTATAATATTAGATAACAATATTTATAAACGCAGTAACCTATAAGTATAAACTATACAAAAGATATAATAAAAAAATGATCATAAAACAGTGTATTTATATTATTAACAACGACGGTACACTTGTTTTTATTGACATAAATATTTAAGTATTATTTAATTTTTGAGGTTTGCGCTGGAAAAATCTACTAAACGCTATGCAGAAAAAGTAAACAATAATACGTTTAAACTTTAGAATAAAACTCGTACTAATCGTGTCAAGAATTCAAGATGGCTATAATGCTGTATATTAAGCTTCAAAATTCAATCAAGTTTTAGTTACACTGACTATTGAGCAGCAACCATACTAAAAAAAACAAATAATCAAACCTTATCAAGGATCAAAAACGACTGTCATGTCTAGTAGAGTAATCGGGCATTAATCATATTTTTTTTGAGATGAAAACTTTTTTTGGGCTTCATTGGACTGGTTTTTGAACTATCTTTAAATAATTTCAGGAAAATATATTTTAAAATTCCTAAAAAAAAATGGATTATTTAGACTTTAGATGTTTATGACAACTTTTAATACCTAATTGAGTTTTTAAATCACAATTAAATGCGAATCATATAATTTTTATATTATTCATAATTCGAACACAAACAAAGTTATCGGAATTCGACTTCGTATTTAATAGGGAGTAACAATTCGCTTCAATACCCTTAATTTTAATACTATTATGTATTAATAATAATTAATAATAGCTAATAAGTAATAATAACCATTTATGGTGCAGTGTGATTAGAAATGTGGCTGAAGGACTCTAATAAGTTGTTTGTTTTGCTAAGAGAGATCAAGTTCTATATCTATACATAGGTACATATCGCTGACCTAACTGTCGCCTAACCATTAGGTACATAAAATAAAATTATAAAACCTATTATCTCAATAGTTTTTATTATGATTTTATTATTAAATACAATACGATACAACAGTACCTATATACCGGCTACCATAATTAATCGTGAATAAGGTGTCTGACTGTCTAAGGAAACTGTAAGCCATTTGAAATATTTGTAAAATCTATACAAAAAAACCCATCTCCTACTTTTTTATATTATTCTAGAGGTCTGTTATTGTATTTAAGAACTATTTTTACAAATCATTAGTTCACCATCAGCAGTTATATACCTAGTGTTTTAATATTTGATTCAACTATATTAGTGATGAAACCAAAAAAGGTTATTTTTCAATCACGGTTTTTCATTAAAATTCCATTTCAAATAATAAAAGTATAAGAATAATCAACACCTATTGTTTTTTTAATTTTTATATTTTGGATATAATGAGTAGGTATAGTGCCTACAGTTTTTGATAGTTTTTGAGAGTTGTTGTGTTAACAAGTAAACCAAATTCCATCCCGGAATTTTCCACACAATACAACATTCAATGGGTGATAAGTTTTACCTAATAAAGCAATTTTGAATGCCAATACATTTATTTTGTGTGGGTAGGTACGAGGAGAGTCTAGCTTTAAGTAGGACACACAAAATATGTTAAAGTTTAAACTTTAAGTAATACTTGAACTTGGGCTATAGCCAAATTGTTATTTAATCATTCTCTTCCGCTAGATTATAACTTGACTTATTATGTATTTATGTGCAAGCCTTAATAGTACGTATATTAAATGTGATCATTATTATGAGAGTGGTGAATTTTAGAGTAATTACATAGAGTAATTCTCATAGATATTCTATAAGAAACAAAGCATTTTCGATTGGTATAGTTTTAAAATTTCACTAAGAACTCCTCAAACACACACGTAAACATAAAATAAATACAGTAGGAACCTAATTGAAATTGTATTTATTTCCAATTATTGTATTGCTTAGTGTATACCTCTATAGTATGGTTTATTTATTATACAGTTTACAGTATACAGTATCTCCCGTGTTATTTTTTAGTTATAAACACCCCAAGGGTACAGAATAAATGTAGATTATGTATTTTATTCGTTATCACTCCTCTTGTTTTGGGCACTATATCCATTATCCTGTCACACTACCATGCACAAAGACGATTAATTAAATTTATATTATTACCTTTACGTGGCCACCACGCCACCACTGACGCCACAGACGGACTGCAGCCGCGGTCTACGTGGCCCCGTAGGCCATATACGATTTCCCGCACGAGATAAGAAAATTATGGGTACGTGACAAACATTCCGAAATCGTGCAAATGGTTATTGGTTTGGTATTAATGTTTTAATATTTATCTCGTCCCTTACCGTTACAAAATCAAAATAGGTAAGTGGTTATTATAATAACTTGACCATCAACCAATAGATTTGGCTTTTGAGTAATAATGCTTTTGATTTTTTTTACTCTAAGCAATCCTATTTCATACGGACGAACGAATGTCTGCACGCGACGAGAACACGACGACGAGTGCACCGCGGCGCGCGTGTTGCACGGCTATAGCGGACGGGAAAACTGACTACACCGAGACTGTAGTAGCGGGGAAATCGGCGGTTTCCCCGCAGGTCACGTGACAAGCGTTTCCTTTTTTCGTATCCGATTTTAACGACGCGATCGCATGACCACTACCGTGTTGTGTGATGTTGTTTTTGTTTTGATTATTATATTTTTTTTTCCAAAAAAAAATCACACCGCTAAACTTGCCAACGTGCAGCCACCGCCGACAGCTAAACTAAATATACATACTAAATAATTCATTATAACTTTTAGTCATTAGAGTACCTTACTATGAATTTGGTTTGGTTGGATTTTATTGAAAATTTTTATTTTTAGCTTCGGAATCCTTGCTTACACAAAAATAATCAAGTTCGTGATTCTTGATTGTGCCCAGGGCTGTATTTGGGCCGTATTTGGCCTCCTCGGGGCAACAAAAATAAAAATACCTTATAATACCAATAAGACAATTCTAAATAGAAAACTAGCTATAACCTAACAAAATATAATCAATACAAGTGTAAAAATAAAATCTAAAACGGACCAATAAGCAAGAGGAAGTGGCCACTGCGTCATCTATCCCCTTAAATCCACCACTCAACTATATATAGTCCCGTTATTATTGTATAACACCTACGCGCTTTAATAATTATTATCACTCACATGCACAAAGCATCCACATTGATTGTCAGCGCCTGTCCAGGGGATGATAACGCTCCCTCCCCTAAATCACTTCAGTAGCTTATCAGTGTGTTTAATGAAAAATCATGACGATAATTGTTATGAGCTTATGACCAATATTCATTTTTTTTTTTATTGTCTTTATTATTTAATTATTTTTACTCTGAACTTAACAAATCAATGCATTAATTGGTAGACAAAAAATATTAATAATTTGCAACTGTAATATATTTTGACATTAATGATTATTGCCTATAAATACTGTATGGACTACACTTCAACACTTGCTTATAAATAGGAACAGCACAAACGACAAATTTTGTGTTTTATCTTTTATGTCATTCTAAATTCTGTGAAAACAGTTTTTAATTCCATTTTTTGATTTACAGGCACAGAGTTACCAATATTATTGTAACTTCGAGCTCGCACTGGATGTCTGCACCTATAATGAAAATACCTATACATTATTATGGTCATTATACTCATTCATTGTGAGTCCGGGATTTATATTAAAAAAAAAATAATAATAATAATAAAAATGGTACATTTTTAATTATTTGTCATAAATTGGTTATAGGAATAGGATAATTTAAAAAATAGTTATAATTCAGCTATAATAATAATAATAATATTGGCACCTACCAAATAAGAAATTATAGAATAAATCTTTAACTTCGAAGTGCTAAAGCAAACCTTCTCACTACTCCATTAGGATCTGCAACGATAATTTCTTATCTAATTTATAGAAATTATAAGAGCTAAATCTTCGCCTATTGTGTTACGTAAATATGTTTTGACATGCCGTAGAGTAGAAAATATTTAAATTCTGCTGTTGCAATTGTAGACATGGGTCAAGTTGCTAATATTTTGGAAAAATCTTTTATTCCATTCTAAGAATTACTCTATTGCATTCCATGATTTTTTTTCGACTAGATATTTTGTCCATTTTAGTTTCCACATGGAGAAATTAACATATACCAAGGTATTTATTTTGTTTAATAATTAATATGTTAATAACTAATAAGGATACAAATTATAGTATATTAATTTCACATAGGTAATAAAAGTTTTAATTAAAAATAATATTTATTGTTTTACTTCAGTATAGTATCGATACTTTTGAAATAAATAAATGATTTTTGATATTCTAAATGCTCTTTAAATTGTTGTCATCGAGTGCATTTTTCATTAAATAAAGATTCATTTTATAGTATTGACAGGGCTAACATTTAGAAATATACGCCACGGTACACTTATAAAATTCCACTTTTATTTTTAGCAACAGTAGGAGGTGGATGTTCCGTACTAAAAATAAAAACTATGAATACGTATATAAAATTAGGTATAAAACTTTATATGTATTTTATATAAAGGTACAAATTCAATTTAGTCACCACGGCTTTTCTGATTTTTTTGTTTGTTTTTGAAACCTATATTTTAACGAGTTAAGAACGATGGTGAAAAAAAATTGTATAAATCCTTATTTTGGAAGTTATATTTGTCCAAAGTTAGCTCGTAAGTTAGTATTTAACGAATGTTGATTTTTTTCTTAAGATTCTAAGTATTTTAATTGGTTAAGAACAGCTCATAGTAATATAATATAGTATATATTAGTAAAGTATCACAAGTAGACGGTAGTCGCCCGCTACGTCTACCGGCTCCAAACGCCAAACTCGAGGTCCTACGCAGACCCCTTGTAACGTCGTAACAATCTAGCATTGCCAGTTAAAGTAACTCAAGTATATATAGTGACTCCCTTCGCCTGCAGGCTCCGATCTTCTAATTTCTGATGTATTTTAATAAACATTGAAAATGTATAAATTCGTTATCAAATAATTCATCCAATTCTTCATTATATATTTAAATATTTTACATAACTTCTAAGTTCTTAGCAGCTTTTCTAATTTCAGATGGTGTGTATTCTCATATTATATAGTTTCCAAATAAATAAATATTTCGATCGACTCGTTCGACGCACTAGTCTTTATCTTTGATAAAATTACAGAAGTTAATAGGTATGTAGAAAAACGCATTTTATACAGGTAATTATGAATTATATTTATTCCAAGTTGGATAATCACAAAAAAAAAATCCCTAAGAATTTACCGTCCCAAACATTTCACAAGGGGGGAAATTCCCCCTGCCCCCCTTAAATATTTGTCTGAGTACAGTGCGTTATAGATTCTGAGAGAAGCGATCATTGAAATCAAATTTAACACATGACAGTGACCCAGTGGTCAGCCTTTTTTTTGATCTTGCGAAATTTCATCTGGGGTTATTATTGTCTTTTGACAGGTCGATTCTTTTTCAGAATCTATATTTCTGGGGTTTTTTTTTTATCGATGTGAAAGCTTAATTATATTCCCGTACATATTATATATAGTATATACCCAACCACTCAGGTAGAACGATCGTTTATAATCCTGGATAGGATACGATATTATCTATACCTTTGTAACTTGTACATGACTTTTCTATATTTTAATTACAGATTACCTACACTCCGAATAATCCAGAACTATACACAACGGCTGGTGTTAAACAAGGTACCTATCTAAACAAATTTGCACAAAAAAACAAGTTTAAATATAAAATTATAAATTTACTTCATATTATACAGATTAATAGATTTTTTTTATTATTAGCAAAATTAATATGATAGTATTTGTTGCTTCAGTAAATATTAGATAACTTACTGTTTAACTGTTTAACTGGTAAATTCTTGACCAAAATTGTATAACTCAAAAAATGTAATATGATAGTATAAAAAACTATTTTAAATACTATAGATATTATCTAGGTAAGTCTTTCATAAATCTTGTATTATTTAGCTTATGTTGACCAGCGTGAAAAGCATTGGTTCTAAACTTCTAACTAAAAGAATATATATTAAACAGGTTAGTTTTGTCATTGAAATAAAAAATAAATAAAATAATGATTCTGAATTTCATTAATCTAAGTAAATATTAATTTTTACAAGAAAAAAATTAGATAGTAGAGTAGGTACCTACATTAATTATTATGATTGTCGTTTACCCGCCTTTAACATTGTAAAAATACCTGGTGTATTGACACAACTAATTTAATAAATAAATAAAAAAATTATTATTTATTATACCTATAGGTATACCTATTGGTTTTTCGATATTTCAAATTGTAATATGATAAAATGAGCATTTTTAAATTGCAGTACCTAGGTGCTAGGTATTTTACATATCTACTCTTAAATCATAAGTAACTTATGACTAGTCATAACTCACTTAAAAATTATGGTAAAAGTAAACATTTTTGCAAGCGAAATTAATTTTCTCGGGAAATCGAATTTAAGCATGATATTGTGCAAGCTACCACGATGAACGCTGTTATCTTTAAGTCTACAAAAATTACAAAGACTCGCCATATATTTTGCCTGAACTCATATCTAAGATTCTAAGAGGAGCAATGAATGTATTGATTTTACAATGTGCGTTTTTTGTGTGTCTGTCAATCTGTCATCACTCATCACAATATTTAGGACAGTAAAAATGCTTCGATTTTCTTCAACAGCATCTTTTCTGGTAAGAAAATGAATCTAGTTAGTACTTGGGGACTGGGGTAGGGGGTCGGAATAAAATAATTCCCAATAGTTTTCAAAAGCAAAAGGAAAAAACAACAAAAAATTAAGAAAACTGAGATTTTTACACAAAACAAGTTTTAGTGTAACGCTAAAAAAATAACTGTAGATAGTGGATACCTTCATGCAATTTTAACTGAATATTTCTACAAGCAATTTATGTGCATCATACAATTTTCGAAATATCGCGATTATGTTTAAACAACTATGAGTATACATCATAGCCATAAGACAATTTCGAGTATATTATTAGTTTATTTTAGTCGATGAAAAAAATTGTCGGTTAGTCAAAAAACTTGAAAATGTACCGAATACAATATTCCTGATTTTTCAAGTCGTTGTTAGTGGAAATTAAAAAAAAAATGAGCGTAAATCCGCAGTAGTTTTTATGGGTGTCTGAAGTTAAAATTTTGTCAAAATTCATCAAAATCAAGAAAATTGGTACAATTTCTACACTAATCAACTCAAAATTTTTCTATACTTGATAAAATAGGTAAATAAAAGTTTACCAGAGTCAAATATATTTTGGTTTTGTTTGAGTTATAGATATTTAAAATTTAATTTTTTTTCAATAAATGTCAATACAATGTTTTCGCTGGGTCGAATATCGAAATACTTAAACATTCAATACAAAGTACCTACCTCATATAACTAGTTAAAATAGCATTTTGGAAATATTAAAGATCCATAGGCACGATTTTTTTTTTAAGT